CCTCCGGTGCAAAGAGAGACAAGCGTGTGAACTGCTGCTCATACTCCGCCACTGTCATGTTTCCCTGCTGCAGACTTAGAAACTCGGTCTTCATAGCTGCCCTGATTGCATAGGGAAAATATTTCTCATCAAAGCGAACATTGAACTCATCATAAGACAATGTCATCCTCTCCTTTGAGGTGGTAACTGACTCCCACCACTGTAGTGTATCCCCAACTAGCTTGAAAGTAGCAAGCATCTGCTTCTGAACCTCTGTGCACTGAACCAAACGAAGATGACGCTCAATGTCCTGTTTCCACTGGTGAGCTGCTCTTGCATCGGTTGAGCCTGAGAACACAGGTGGACTCCCCTTTGTGAAAGAGTTCCTAGCCTTTCCCTAAGAATCCGTCTGAACCACTGGTGCTGGTATAGGTGCTGGCTGTACCTGAGGCTGATTCCGAAGTGCAGCTGTTACCCCAGCCTCTATAGCCCGAGCAACGAGGTCATTGAGGTGAGGAGGAATCTCTGGATCTCTGACCTGGTCCAGAGTCTGTTGAACATTCCCCTGTTCCTCCTGAAACTGATCCATGTCATCTTGAAACCCAAGCCTTTGCTGCTCTTCCTCCATTTGCTGACGCCGTAGGAGATATTGTTGCCTACGTACCGTTCTCCTTTCCTTCCTAGTTCCTTGCATGTTCTGTCCATTTCTAGCGTTAACCATCTGTTAACACGAAAAGACAGACGTCAGTACCCTTTCTATACGAACCATAAGGAATACAATGAATCCTAACTTAAGCTCTATTCAAGAGAAAACGCTACGCGAAAGGCTTAATACGAAAACATCCTAGAGACACTTGAACCTGGAGTGCTCTGATACCAACTGAGATACCCCTCAGATCCGAGACACGGGTTGATCAGGCTCAGGCCCAAACCCGAGGGAATATCAAACAATTAATATTTTATAATGAACACGGAATACAAAATAAATTAAGAAATGAAATTAAAGCTGGAAGGAACTAAAAATAGAATCCGTAAAATATTATAATTATTAAAATCCATCAAACCTAAACTCCAAAACTTCATCAGTTTACAACTTGGGAATCCATCTCTAGTGGACCCCTATTAAACATCCAAACGGAAGATAGAACAACTGTAATAAACGTCCAGAATTAAAACTATAGAGAGAGCCCTACATCGTCGGAAGAGTGAATAGAGACCTCTGCTCAGCACGAACACGTCTAAGCCTGGAACTGTCGTGTACCTGAAAAATAGAAGTGGGTCAGGCCCACGCGCAAGTTCTATACTACTACAATCCAAACAGAGGCCCGATACGCATGTATATCCTAAACAATTCAACAATAACTAATAGTCCGTAAATATATATATAGTCACACTAAAGGACTCTCACTGGACTAGAGGCCGGTCTTAACCTGAATAGAGGTAACATGCTAAAACGCACACGAAGTGGGCATATGTACCTATACCTAAACAGGGTACACCTCCAACCATCGTAGCCAGCTACACATCCCGATGCATATACGCTCCCTAGCCATCGGTCCTGAGGCTCAAGCTCATACCGAGGCACCATAACAGTACATATATAAAATCCATCCAAAATCCCTGGTATTGCCGCTCAACAAGTAGTTGCCATGACAATACAAATCCACGGGACTTAACTTTTAGTTAATCCCATCCTTATTCCAAGTAGGTGGGTAATGGTATTGTTTTAAAAACCAAACCCATCCTTAGTATGCCACCGTCCCATACCGGTGCCTACTTTCAAGGAAAAACGCAGTTTTTCATATTCTGCCAAGGTTTGATCAAAGCCCCGATCCCGCTTCGTCCGTGGTCCGATCGAGCTGAATGTTGGAGGAGAGGTTCACGACTCAGTGACGCACAATCTGAACGGTGGAGATCAGAGTTTGACCTCGGGAACAGTGATTCGTACTCGTGAACAGTAACTGGGTCGCACAGGTTTTTTCCATTCTGCCCAGATTTCATCAAACATCCGATCCCACTTCGTCCGTGGTCCGATCGAGTTGAAATTTGGAGGATAGGTTCATGACTCAGTGTCGCACAATCTGAACGGTGGAGATCAGATTTTGAGTTCAGGAATAGTGTTTCGTACCCGTGAACAGAAACTGGGTTTTGGAACTCGCCGAGATTTTTTTAAGAAGACGACGTTGAAACTTTAAACAAAAGTTTCTGAGGCAAGATTCTATCCTTACTCTTTCCCTTAGGCTTCATACTCTTTGCACTCTTAAATGATTTTAGGATTAATGAAGATTAAACCAAACTAAAATGATATCTGTTTTGCTATGAAACTGGTAGTTACAGTAGTGTTGTATGCTTGTTCAACTTAGACTAAGCATGTTTGTGGATGCATTGTGGTTCTGTGGTTCACGTTTTTCCTTACCACTGCTAGTATAAATTATTGGAAGGATGGGTCTAGATGATAGCTATCTTAACTTCTGTAATAGCAACTGTTGGAACTTAAATACTAGGAGGATTTGAGTTTAACACTAGATCGGTTTTGTGGAACACTATAATTTGAGCATGTCTGCATACATACTGTGAATATTGTTTTGATGCTTACATTATCACAGTTAGTATCAACTGTGGAGGTTAGGATTTTGTGATACATACTCTACATATCTGTATGTCATTTGTAAGGTGTTAAATGGAAGTTTTAATTAATTCTGTCTTTATATCAGACTAAAGGGAACAACTTAAATTGGGCATGTATATGTTGTTGTTGTGACCCTGTTTATCAATGCTTATTTTATCACTGCTAACATTGAATGTTGGATGTTGGAATTTAGTCGATATATACTTAATTTATTGGTATTATTGACTACTGGAGGATTGGAAAATAGGCACCGGTATGGGACGGTGGCATACTAAGGATGGGTTTGGTTTTTAAAACAATACCATTACCCACCTACTTGGAATAAGGATGGGATTAACTAAAAGTTAAGTCCCGTGGATTTGTATTGTCATGGCAACTACTTGTTGAGCGGCAATACTAGGGATTTTGGATGGATTTTATATATGTACTGTTATGGTGCCTCGGTATGAGCTTGAGCCTCAGGACCGATGGCTAGGGAGCGTATATGCATCGGGAGGTGTAGCTGGCTACGATGGTTGGAGGTGTACCTTGTTTAGGTATAGGTACATATGCCCACTTCGTGTGCGTTTTAGCATGTTACCTCTATTCAGGTTGAGACCGGCCTGTAGTCCAGTGAGAGTCCTTTAGTGTGACTATATATATATTTACGGACTATTAGCTATTGTTGAATTGTTTAGGATGTACATGCGTATCGGGCCTCTGTTTGGATTGTAGTAGTATAGAACTTGCGCGTGGGCCTGACCCACTTCTATTTTTCAGGTACACGACAGTTCCAGGCTTAGACGTGTTCGTGCTGAGCAGAGGTCTCTATTCACTCTTCCGACGATGTAGGGCTCTCTCCATAGTTTTATTTCTGGACGTTTATTACAGTTGTTCTATCTTCCGTTTGGATGTTTAATAGGGGTCCACTAGAGATGGATTCCCAAGTTGTAAACTGATGGAGTTTTGGAGTTTGGGTTTGATGGATTTTAATAATTATAATATTTTGCGGATTCTATTTTTAGTTCCTTCCAGCTTTAATTTCATTTCTTAATTTATTTTGTATTCCGTGTTCATTATAAAATATTAATTGTTTGATATTCTCTCGGGTTTGGGCCTGGGCCTGATCAACCCGTGTCTCAGATCTGAGGGGTATCTCAGTATAAAACCTGCTAGAGATCCATTTACCAGAACAGAGTATCTGGTCGAAGAAAGAAGGGCTGTAATCCATTTCGCCCATGTTTCCGAAAAACCATAAGCTGTCAACACTTTCAATAGAAACTCCCAAGACACAGTCGAATGCCTTCTTGATATCTACTTTCATAGCCGTGATAGGATGTCTAGAAGGCCAATCTTGAAGCCAAAATTTTTGTAATCACTTTGTACAACAAATTACAGAGAGCTATAGGTCTAAATTCTTCAACTTTAGAAGCATTTCCAGTCTTGGGAATGAGAGTTAGAAATGAACTACTCACCCCCACTGGAAGGGAAAAGGTTGTGAAGAAATGTTGGACAGCATCAAAAACATCTTTATCTACCATGTGCCAAAAAGTTTGAAAGAACCTTGCTGGATAACCATCCGGACCTGGCGCTTATCCGGATGAAATTGCATAACCACTGATTTAACTTCTTCATATGTCACTGTACTTGGCAAGGATGTTTGGGGGTGTCTAACAGCTTCCCATGCATAACCAAACTTTGGAATTCATTAATTTGGTTCACATAAGACCATATAAAAGTCAAAACACATTAGGGCCCACATTTTGATCTTGTATGTTTTAAAACACTTCACATCATTTTAATGACCTAACATACCATAACTCAATGTTGGGTGACAACTCTACACACATCGGCTCTTTTTTTCATAGCAAACTATTTTAGAAAGTAGCCACCCCTTAACAATTCTCAACCTCGAAATAACTGGGTGCTCCACCTCCACTAATTATTTAATTAGTTAAACCCCCAAGTGAAATAACTTATTTCACGCTTAGAAAGTAATTCTCACTAAAATGACCATACTAAAATTCTCAATACTTCAAAACATTAATTGTATCTTCTCATTAGGTTTATTCCAATTGAGATTTAAGTAAATCTTAACCTATGTTAATGATTAATTAACTTTATTAAAAATTAGGAATATTACAACCAAGCATGTAATGGAGTAAAATTGTGTAAATTCAATTCCAAGTCCATATTTTAGTTAAAGATATTTTACTATTAGATACATATATGAAACTGAAATTAAGTCGGATCTTAGCGGCATAATTAATATTTGAACCAAAAAATCCCTGAATAATTCAAATAAATATTAATATGGTAAAATGAATCTCGGATTGAATCACATATTTGAGTCAAAATTCAATCTATTAAATGGCTTACCTATACTCGAAACTAACCTACACCAAAAAAGTCATTCCGAAGAAATTTCATATCAAACATTTTATTTATTTTAGATTAAAATTACAACTCAAATCTAAATGAAATTTTGAATTCTCTCACAACTTAATTGGTTTTATCATCAAAAGGACAACTTAAATGTCCTCTAGTGTATATATATTATAGGCATAAATTGTTTCTCATATTTGAAGTTAACCTTGTACTTTAACTGTTTCTCTCATTTGTAAGTGAAACTTTATTTTCAACAGTGTACAACACAGCAAAGCCAGCCACGGCCAAAGCAGCAAGCAGTATAGCTGTCCTAACCTTCTGATCTTTGAAAATGAACCCAGCACTCAGGTAAGCCCACAGCCATTGGGATAAGAAATGGAGCCCACAAGTCATCTGGAACTTCTGAATAGAAAATTCCTACACAGCAATACAAGAAAGCTCCAAAGTCAGCAACACAAAATGATTGACAACCAAAATACAAGCATTTGTTGCTCTCAAAAGAAGTTAAACTGTTGGTGTAGATGTAGTAATATTGATTCAATTGATTTGCAAGGGTAAATCTACAAACTATTTGGGAGGGGGGTTGCAAGAGAAGTGGTCCAACCTAAAAGGATAATGTGCATGCTATGTAGGCTATAGAGAGCTGCTTTCCTCGCTTTGGCTCATATTTTACCAACCACCTTGCCCGAAAAATCAGCACAACTGCTATTGAAATTTTCTAGGGAGAAGCCCTGCACAATCCCGAGAGGAATTTTTGGAGTTTTACTTAAATATGAAATGAACCAATAATATTTATGAACCGTATTGTTTAGGACTACGAGGGTGTAGTTGCTTACAAAAAACTTCTTTTCATACAAGTACAAATTCATGGATCACCGAAAACGAATCACCTTAACAAAAAAAATTGTTTATTTGACCACATATCTATTACTTGAATTGCTAAGGAACATGGGGAGGGTGTATTTGAGTACAAAAAAGAGCTTCATATTACAACTACAACTACAAATTAATGGATCACCAACAAAAAAGAAAAACCACCTCAACAGAAAAGGGCCAAGTTATGATCCGACTGCCAAAAGATTAAGGTGGAGAAACATAATCAATTTCTGATTCATAAATGCTGGTCCTTCACACATGCACTTGAGACATTTAAAAACCAATTGCAAATTTTGAAATAATATATATCACTAGTTAGCAGCTCAGCTCAGATTGCTTAGCAGGTCATAAAGAGTTATTTCCCAGGTTAATCAACGAAAGCTGCCTAAGTTATAGATTGGGTTGTTTGATATGCCAGGCTTGAACAGTGTCTAACTAGCTTATTGTGGCTTCTATTTTTGGGACTCATATTCTCTACAATTCTATTAAAGTGGTTCCCTCGTCATCACCATCATCATCCTTCCTTAATCCCATATGAATGGGGTCAGCCACATGAAGTCTCTCTCTTCAATCTTTTCTATTACATGCTATTTCACCTACTATATTTAACTTTTTAAAGTAATTTTTAATAACCTCATCCCATGTTATTTTTGGTAGCCCTCTACCCCTTTAACCTTCTATTACAACTAATCTTCCACGTTTGACCGGTGCATCTCTAGGTCTCCGATGTATGTGTCTAAACCATCTAAGTCTACTCTATCTAATTTCCTCACCAATGGGTGCTACACCTAATTTTTCTCACTCTTCCATTGGTGAACCAATCTCTTCTAGTCACACTACTCATCCATCTTAACATTCTCATTTCCACTACATGAAGGTGTTATTCTTGTTTCTTTTTCATGGCTCAATACTCCGTTCCATACAACATAGTTGGTCTAATAACGGTCCTATAAAAGTTATTCTTTTATCACATAAAATCCCACTAGGTTGTCTCCATTTTGCCCAACCGACTCCAATCCTACTAGTAATATCCCTATCTATCACATAAATTACCCACATGTTATGCTATGTGTGTTTCTTGGTTATGGTGAAGGCCAAAAGGGGTATCGATGCTATGATCCTCTTGCCCAAAAAGTTGTATGTGTCTCATCAAATTGTTGTTTCTTGAACATATCCCTTTCTTGACTATTCTCCCTAGTCCAACCACTTTGAGTTAGTTTGATCTTCTCTACATTGATCCCTTTCTTGATGGCATTTCTAGTATGCCTTCTGTTAGTGGCATAACTCTTTATAATGATGTGGGTCCCACTCCTCATTATCCTCAGCGTGTTGTAAGTCTCCTGATCATTTTGGTTTTCTAATTCTTGTTATTCTAATACCTTTTGTTCTTTCTTGGCCTCTCTTTATTCTCTCTCTTAGCCCACCTCCTATAAGGTGGCTATTTGTATCCTCTTTGGCCACAAGCAATGGATGAAGAGCCTTTCTGCTTTGCATAAGAGTCTAAGACCGACACATGGGATTTGGTGCCTTTAACTCCCATAAGCATGTAGTTGGATGTAGGTGGGTCTATAAAAATCAAGACGACCTCTGACAACTCTATAGAACGATATAAACTTCTCTAGTTGCAAGGGGGTTTACCCAGGAATGTGGTGACTATGAGAATACTTTTGGTCCTACAGCCAAAATGATGACTGTTTGCATATTGATTGCTATTGCAGTTGTCCAGCAGTGGGGCTTGTTACAACTAGATGTCAAAAATGCCAAGGACTTAACTGAAGAAGTTTATATGACACCTCCTCCTGGTCTTTCTCACAATCCTGGACAGGTGTGCATACTTAGAAAGGCATTGTATTGCCTCAAACAAGCTCCTAGGGCTTGGATTGGTTTTAAAAGTTCTCTACGGTAATCTGTGCATTGGGTTATTGTCCCGGTGATCATAATTCTGCTCTCTTTATTCGTTCTACCTCTGTTGGCCATATTATTCTTTTTTTTATTTATGTTGATGATATGATTTTGACTGGTGATGGTAGTGTTGGCATTGATCTTTTGAAATCCCAATTGCATCAACAATTTGAGATGAAGGATCTTGGTCCTCTTCGCTATTTTCTTGGTACTGAAGTAGCTCATTCTCCCAAAGGTTATCTTCTCTCTCAGTCCAAGTATGCAGCAGATGTAATTCATAGAGATCATGTCACTGATACTCAAACACTTGAGACTCCTATAGAGCTTAATGTTCTCTATACTTTTACTGATGGTGTCCCTTTGGATGATCCTAGTTTATATTGAGTTATACTTGGCCTTTTAGTGTATCTTACTGTCACTTCGCTTGATCTTTCCTATGTTGTTCACATTGTCATCCAGTTTGTATCATCTCCTACTTATGTTCATTGGGTTGTAGTTCTTCGTATTTTGCTATATTCGGGGTACTTTGCACCAAGCCTTTTCTAATGCGAGCTAGGGATTCTACAAACCGTAAATCTATCACTGGTTTCTGTATTTTTCAAGGCAATTCTCTAAGTTCTTGGACAAGCAAGAAACAAACAGTTGCTACTAGCTCTACTGATGAAGCTGAGGATTGTGTTGTGGTAGCTACTATAGCGAAGGTAGTTTGGCTATGATGGTTGCTTGCTGATTTGGGTGTTTGTCTGCTCCAACGCCTATGTATTTTGATAAAAAGAGTGCTATTCAGATTGCACACAATTCTGGTTTTCATGACCGAACAAAGCACATCGAGATTGATTGTCATTTTGTGATCCATCACATTGAGCTTGACCATTTCTCTACCACTTGGAAGTTAGTTAGTTTAATGTATTAGTATTTTTCTTATTTCTTAAGGGTAGTCTTGTCTTTTCTTCTTTTTTAGTTAGGACTCTTTTTAATATATACAATGTAATACAAAATACAATATACGATTTTCCCTTTTCTCTTTCATTATCACTTTATTTTCAGTTAGATCTTTGAATAAGGTATATAGGATTTTTTTTCTTTCTTTCTTCCCTCCCTTCTCTTCTTCCTTTTTGTTCTATTATTTGTGTCCTGATGTAGGACAGGAGCAGCCTCGAATAGTTAAAATAAACAAGTGTTATTATCTATCAAAAAAAATAAAAATAAATAAATAAGTGTTATTGCCTGAAAATTCAAATAAACAGAGCTATGGTTCAAGATGTGTTAGCATAGAAGGAGGATTGAAATCACACAAAAGGGTTTAGGTATCACTTGAAGGCCTCACACCCTCATATCTTGTGAATCACTCACCAACATTTTATTTCATTCATTTATTGAGTCACCAAGTTTACATCCTACACTTTTTATAGCATTCTGGAGTGCAACTCATGCCCCTTGGATTACTGCATAATTAAGGTAATCAATGCTTGACTCTATAGCATAATAAAAGTAATCACTCCATATATTTTTTATTCAATATTTGACTCTTGGATTACCCCATAATTGAGGTAATTAGTACTTGACTCTAGGATTACCCCATAATTGAGGTAATCAATACTTGACTCTGGCATAATAATAATGCAATTTGACCATAATTAATGCAATTTACCATAACAGTGCAATTTGACCAAACCCCCCAATTACTCAAGACTCCAAGTGGACCCCACATCATCTAGCATATGCCAAATAAAGGCTTTAGCCTTAGATCCGTCCTTCCCTCGCATTGTATTCACTTTTAAAGGCTGCTACCACTTATCTCTATCATATCCTCAACCATGTCCCATAACTGTGTTTGTGTCATGTCAACCCAGGTACTTGGGGATAAACCAATGAGACTGGCAACCCAGCTTTGGAATTCTTGCAAAGTTGAGCTGATGAAAAGTGAGGATCAAAGGATGGGCAATTTGACAGAGGTTGGATTGGAGGGGTGTCTGAGGAAGTCATGCAACTTAAGGGTTTTAATTAGTTATCAACCAATGGTTGTATTTTCCAATTATACTATCAAGCAAAATGTTGTTGCCTGTTTGGCCTCATAAAAAGGTATCAACGTGACTTCAGAAAGGTGCAACACCAACAGATTCCTTCATTAATAGGACAGTAAAGATAATAAAAACAATATTTGGATGCAAACGCATTGGATTCAACAAATGTAATATATTAAGACATCAGAACCAGCAATAACTCAGTTACATATACATGCTTGTAGTTATGATATGATAACATGCCAGTGAGCCAGTCAATGAAATATAGCATGGGGACAGGTGAATATTTTTTTTTTATATAAATAGCATGGGGACAGGTTAATTTGACCTTTGGTAACTTCTTTTCTTGGGCCAGATGATCCACATGAAGCCTCACATTTGATGCAGCAGGAATCCAGAAACTTCGGTCAACATCACTGTACGTATGTGCAACAATGTCAAACAATGTTTTTGCTCCATTTTCGATGGCCTTCAAAATGGAAGATTCTCTACCTCTGCGGTTTCTGGAAACAAAACGAAGTTTTTTATTACTCAATCCTTATAATGTGTATTAGCCAACTATTGTTACAAGAACTGAGACAATGAAGAGATGAAAGTAAAGCCCAATAAAGAACAAGTGGGATTGAAAGTAAAAATTATGTGCCTCACAAATATTAAACAACATAGAGGTGCTTATATTTATTAGCTTAACAATCTAATTACTAACTGAACCCCATAATTAAACTCTTTCTTGGCATAGAATAAGTTATGATAACCAGGAGATTGCAGTAATAAATAAAAAACAAATGAAGGAAACGAAAAAGGTCCGGAAAAATCTTCAAAAGTGTATTTCCCTAAGCTTGTATAATCAGCAAATTCCCTACAGATTATTTAGTTAAATCTAGATTCCATATACTTAATGCGAAAGCTAGTAATGAGAAGGAATGTGAGGAGATCTAATACTTGAGATATCCACAAAGCATGTGCTTTGGCCACAGGTTAACTCTCCCATGCATGGGAATCAAGGCATGCGGGGAAAGCTCCATAAATTTGTAAGTTGTTTGGAAGTATTCCTGCAAGAAAGCATTAAATTTTAGAGACTGAAATTGGCAGAAACATAATTATTTTATCTTATTTTTTGTTGTACAGTTGTACTACTATTCTTTTACAGAGGTTATCTATATTAGTGAAACTTATTGAAAAAACTTATTGTACTTGTATAGTTGCTTTCACTACTCAACTAAGCGCGTGGCCCACCTACCCCACTACCCACATATGCAAAGAGTGAGGTTGAGTTGGACTCCACTGGGGTTAATTTGTTTAGGAAAATCAGAAAATGAAAATAAAAGGCAGATCCAATCTAACAAAGATTATGGTGATCCCATCAATAATATGGCTTCAAACTTCAAATATTCAATAATCTCAATAGTTGGCACTATGTATGATAGTATTTAAAAAAAATTGGAAAAAGAAACAGTATTCACAACATGACTAAATTTAAAAACTCTGATTCTAAGTATAACAAAGATGAAGCACAAAAATAATAACGGAAAAGTGTATAAGGTGCAACATAGTGACAAGCTCCAACAAGTCAATTAAATGAAACTACTCTATTTATGATATAGGAAAAGGTTTAAAAACAAATCCAGCCACTTTGGACCCCCTACACATTGAAAAGAGAAGAATTCTGCAATGCATGATGAATGAATCACTCAAAACATTCTGTGAATGGTTATCATTGACCAAAACGACTAGTTATAATTTTACTTTATTAGAAGTGTGTTATAACTGTTATCTTCATTTTTCTATAAAAGTGCCTTTTTTTTTTTTTTTGATAAGTAAAAAAATGTATTAGACAAAGTTCAAGAGGGTTTTGCATCCCACAAACAACACAAAGGCCGAAGCCAAAAAGGAGTCCTACAGACCCAAGGAACCCAAAAAGACAACCATCTCCTCTAATAAAGTTTTGTTCAACCTTAAATCTAAGTGGGAAACTAGTTAATCATCCTCTTTTGCTACAATTTTATAAATTATTATTATTATTTTATTTATTTTTTGCAAGTGTATTTCTACAATTTCACCATCATGTTGCATCGATGGAATCAATACCTCACAAAGTTATAAACCATAAAAGCGCTTCATGTAATGAAACATATGTCAGATCTACTTATTGATTGCTGCTTGTTCCATGTTCAGCCTCATTAATTTGCCTCAATTTTCATTCATATACACCCTTTGGCTAGGGAATCCAACCAATCAATTGCATATTCAATAGAACTTCTATTTAGACATGTCATGTATCTGTTGAAGGAACTTTTTTATCAAATAATGTGCTTTTTGCTAGCCACTCACTAGCTGTACTAACATACTGATCTCTCTTCTAAATGTGTCCAACAACCAAACAGACCCTTTTAAATGAGAATATAACTCTATATAGTTCAATATTAGGGTTAATTAAGAATTTAACTTGTCTTCACCGAGTGACTAACCATAATACTTTGACGAACAGTTTAGCATGGAACAACTAAAAGAAATAGCCATCAAAGTTGTAACTTAACATGTTTCGATGAAGAATAAAGTGAAAAACCTTGTAAGTAAAATCAGGTTACACAAATGTTGTTTGGTTCAGGTTTTCATGGATCATTGTCTGTCTAATCGTTTTAAATGGAAAACAACCTCATACAAAACAAATACACATATGTGCACGCGCGAACAACTCTTTTATACTGTAAAAGATTTTATGAATTTGATTTCTTGTGCCCAAACAAAAACAAGAAGTAGGTACTGCCAGTTCAAAGTATATGATAACTACCACTTTTCCCATTATCAATCAAACAACAAGAAGGATGAACACAATTCAAAATATATGATAACTACCACTTTTCCTGTTATCAACCAAACAACAAAATGAAGAACAAACATTCCCAAAACATCTTAATAAGAGTAGCAATTTCTTCAATAGTTCTTAATAATCAAGCAATGAATGAAGCTCGCTTAACAAAATGAATAGCAGTACTTAGACAGGATAATAGCATAATGAAACAACACTGTTCGATTTAAGCAATAATTGGTTCATACTGACATTCAGTAAATGGGAAAATAATGCATTGGAAAACACTTACAGTCATATTCCCACCAGAAGTTATATCCAAGATGGCACTTCCTTGACTGAAACAACCAATAGATAAATTAAACATATTACTTTATAGGTTATGAATTGCATGATGAGAATAATGGCTTAAAAATAAGAAACAGTTTACAAGGTGAGAACATATCTTTTAAATCAAATATAATGTAAAATTCTATACAATCACTATGAGAAATTATGTAATACAAAATAAGAGAAAACTCATTGAGTCATGTGCCAATTCATAATTTTGCATTACACAAGAATGGGTGCTAATGGATCATACATCCAACAAAATTGATAAAACCTAAACCTAAATAAATAGCACAACCTTTGTATAGTAACGTAGACAAGGAATGACTAATTCATATCAAATACAAAGTTTCTTTTTCTAAAGAATCTTACCCAACACAGTGATCACCTACAATTAACGAGTGGGTATTGACATGAAGCAATGCCACATGGCCATCTGTATGACCCTGAATTAGGAAGATTATCTTGTCAACAGTTAAGCATGAAGTAGAATGTTATCTTATAAGAGAGAAGATGTATGTATATATATTAACATGAAGATGCGTGACAGATATCCCAAAGTTAATAAATATATATATCCCAAAGTTAAATAAACATACTTTTATTATAAATAAACAAAAGAAAAGGAAAAAAAAAAAAAAAAAGGGAAAATAAGAAAGAACTGTTCAATTGCTGAGGACTATAGGGATCATTTGTTTCTTACTTGTCCTAGGGCGACGGCTGTTTGGAACTGGTTGATGTTTTGTTGAATTGGAATATACCTCAGCTCCTATCCTTTTACTCAATGAAAAGATTGGTTTATTCACAAATTCTCTTCTAGGAGTATACGTTCAAGAGTTTTACGAATGATGTTACCAACTGTTTTATGGCATGTTTGGCACAAAAGAAATTAAAGGCTTCATCTAAACATAATGAGGGATTCTATTGGCCTTGCTAGTATCATTTGGTGGGTAGTCATTGATGTTTCTGGGCATAATATAGAGGATATCATTTTGTTATCTTAGTTTTTAAGTTGTTCTTTTTTATGCTTAGGTCCTTCACGACCTTCTTTCTGTGGTGGGGAATGCCTCTACTTATTGTCCTTGTACGTTATGTGCTAATGATTAGATATGAAAAGAGTCAAACTCTGCCATGCTGACTGATTAATTTACATATTAAAACAACTTGACTAGTATTTCAGGCTAAATAACAACGCAACTCTCTTGACTGGGATGGCCAATTACAGCAGGCTGGCCAGATGCCTACCTTTCAGCCTGGTTTAATCTTAACTTTATAGTGAATGAGATTTTAATCTATCATCACTGCTGGCACTTTACACAAGCAAAAACAATTTAGAAGCTTCTTACCTCTTCTAATGGTCAATAATCAAAGGCTAGTATGGTGTCCATACCTTTGTTACGTGGACTCAAGTACATGTGTCGGGTACGAGTATGTATCCAAGCGTCGTCAGATGTGTCAAATTCGAGAACAACAGGACATAGGGACACTGCCAAATATTCATATTATATAATAATTTTATTCTATTTTCTTGGAAAAAATAATATCTTTATATAACATAGTGTCCAATATAGGCATTTCACTCATTTTAAAATAATAAAAAAATGAAATTGGATTATATGATATACTTTTTAGGTGCATATCCAATCAAAAGTGAAGGACACATCCCATACCCATGTCCGTGTAATGTGTGTCCGACATGGGTACTTCACCTACTTTGAAGAATCCATGCAACATAGGTCCATGCAAGGAATGCCACCTTTGAAAGACTATTGGTTCTCCAAATGCATTTCAACAGGCACGGGCCACATGCTTTCTGACTACACCTTATAATATGCCTTCTCTTCAAATCTAATGCCCCTTGAAATTCACCACTGACTACATCCTCTCCATTAACCAAAAATACCCTCTCAATACAGCAAACCAAGCATATCCACCATCTCATCTCTCAATCACAGACGACCCACTGGAACATTGACGATTTGACATCCCACACCACCGCATTCTCCTAATTCTTATGATAATCAGTCACCATATCCTCCTTATCCACAGGACCACATCCAGCCACCAGTCTATTACTACAGGCTTCCAATTTCTCTCTCTTTTTTTTTTTTTTTTTTTGTCCCCACATTCTATCAAGTCCTTTTATACGATAGAATCCCCATGTTGAAATGGAAATGGCATATGGCATTCACTGAAAGCAGATCAACTTTGTGTGTATCAAGGCCTTCTATGAATTCTATTGATACATCTTTTTCCCTGATACAAAGCAATGGTGATGGTTGTGCTTCCTTTGAAACGTCTAACTATACCTATTTTGAGTTGACTACTTGATCCTGAAGTGCAGCTCTGTTCTTTACCATTGCATATATACTGAATGAACCATGATAGAAGTGAATGAAACCTACAGCTTTTCAAAGAAACAATCTTGTAAATGAAAATTACCGGAGCAAAAATGACTCTTAACCTCTGATCACCAATGCATATCTCTTCATCTCCTGAAACTGAGGTATACCCAAGAGACCAATCATCTGAATCATATAATAAGATCAGTAGGCAACCTGAACTTAATAAAATCAATAAAAGTTTATATGAAGACCTACACATACTTAACCAAGCATGTATTGTCAATTTGGAAGGTAAAATACTGAGCCATTCTCTAAATACATTAAGATTCTTCATCAAATATGTTCACAAAAGTTCACTGAAAGCATATGGTGTCATATAAATTGAGGGTTTTAAAGTACATTAGCTCGCCATGGAAAGACTGAAGAGGACCACATGCTTAAATAAAATCCAAAATAAACACCTTTCATATGAATCAAATACATACATACATACATATATATATATATATATATATATATATATATATATATATGTATATATATATATATATATATATCTTACAACAGACCAAGCTCCACATGGACATACTGGATCTGGAAAAATTTACCAGCTAGCCGCATCAATGGACTGCTATACAAACCAAAAACTATCTGCCCTGGACTCCCAGGGGGCTTGAAATAACATAGCAGAATAATAAACTCTCCATATACAAGCATCATGTGATAAATTCTATGCGCTTGCAACTGAACATATTTCCTTTGTTACATGGACTCGAGTACATATGTCGGGCGTGAATAGATTTCTAACCATTGACTTATTACATTACCATAACCAAGGACATGGTACACCGGTCAAATATTAATATTTATAATATTATTATTCTGTTTACAAGAATAAAACAGATTACTATGTAAGAGAGGGTGTTCAACTTGGAGGAGTTCATGTAATGGAGACCTAACAATGTTTACATTTTGTAGAAATTGTGGTGGTTCATCACTTTCTATATACCCCCACAGAATGATAGAGGGAGATTACCTCCGGAATAAGCAACCTTCTTTGGTCATGCTTTTATTGATTAGACACACTATACTTGCGCAATTCTTACATGACGCAACAACTCCCCAGTTTTTCTTTTTTTTTTGGTGATAAATAAGGTTGTATTAGAAAGTGTTCAAAAGGGGAAGCATCCCATGAAAACTACACAAGGCCAATTAGGGCCCTTACACTCTCAAAGAGTCAAAAAATCAACTATCTCCCCCATGGATTTACAATTTCTCCCAAGAACCCAACTAAAAAGAGAACAAACCCATGGCATTACCCTCCAAAAGACACGGGCTTGGGCACCCAATGTACAACGTCTCCAAGCCTCGATCAAACCTAGGCATAACCCACTGGACCCTGAAAAAACCCAACAATAAGCTCCAACAATCCCAGGCCACTGGGTAATGCAACAGGTCAAGTTAACTGTCTCCTCATCTCTCTTGCAGATACAACAACCACCTATCTTCTCCTTCTCAGGTTATACAGAGTCGGAATCCTCCCGGGACTGTCCTCCACACAAAAAAAGCCACCTTAGAGTGCAAAACAGCCATCCATGAGAAGGCAGTCCCCGGAGCATCTGTAAGGCACACCTATAGAGACAGCAATCATCAAAGCACCCCTGAGGAGAGGGAACCCATATCCGGGAATCCAGTCCACCACCCACGACCTCCTGAAGATATAGCAACTCCAAGAACCCAATGGCGTCATCCAACACAAAATCCTGAAAATGCCTTGAAAATCAATCCCAAGTTGTCCTCCCACTATCAAGCTAGTAACTGTCGGCCATCAAGGCATGTCTATACAAGGCAATCCTGAAAAGTCAGATATGTGCAAGCCAAAGAACGGTCACCACACCAAATGTCCTTCCAGAAATGGATTCCCCTCCCGTCCCTAACTCTGAATCTGATGTGTTTAGAGAGATCATCCCACATGTTCTGAATGAACTTCCAAACACCAACACCACCTGGGATCCTCACCTCAAAAGAGCCCAACCTCCTCTCTCCTCTCCAAATCTGCAAGCAATCAGCCTCCTCCACAGTTTGTGCCTCTCCACACCAAATATCCACAACCACTACTAACCCATAGGGGCCTTGTTGAAGGGCCCCATACACCTGATCCCAATGCTTCCCAACTGGATCAGTCTACAAACCTGCTCCCAGCAAACCAACCTTGAATTTCTCCCCCACACCACCCCAAAGGAAATTATGCTGAAGCTTCTCAATCCTCATAGCCACCAACAGAAGAGGGAATATGAAAAAGAGAGGAAATAAATAGGAAGGCTCAACAACGTGCTCTTCCTCAAGGTGACCCTCCCACCTTTCGACAGATACTACTTCTTCCACCTCGCCAGCCTCCTCTCAAACCTCTCCACCACAAGGTCCTAGCCACCCACTCTCCTCGAAGGCGTCCCAAAGGCAGCCCCCCATATGAAATGGGGAAAGAACCAGCACTACACCCAAGAATGTTTGCAAGGGAGAAAATATCAGGGATCTCCACAGCCGGGACCATCACGCTATTCCATATATTCACTTTTAAGCCAAAGACTGCTTGAAACCAAATCAAAACACATCTCAACTCTCTGCAGCATCACAGAAAATTGTAGTATCATCAGCAAACAAGAAGTAGGATATCTCCAACTAGAATAGTCCCTGCCCACCCTAAAGCCTCTGATAAAACCCAAGTCAACTGGCCTCCCCATCAACCGAGATCCTCCATCACAATGATGAACAAAAACGGAGAAAGAGGATCCCCCTGCCTCAAACCCTGTGAGCTGCTGAAGAAAACAGTCCAGGAACCGTTCAGCAAGACTGAGAATCTAACCATGGAAATGCAAAACTCCATCCACCATTTCCACCTCTCCCCGAACCCTATCCTCTCCATCAAATAAAGCAAGAAAGTCAAGCTCACATGATCATAAGCCCTCTCAATATCGAGCATACATAAGACCCCTGGGATCTGGAATCAACACATTCTCCTGCAATAAGGACTCAGTCCAAAATTTGGCGGCCTCCAACAAAGGCATTTTGCAAATCCAAAATGAACCCATCCATGACCTCCCTCAATCTCAAGGCTAGGACCTTAGCTGTAAGTGTTAGCAGATATGATAGCCACGATTTATGGAATGACTTACCATATTAGTAGAAATTTGATTATGCTATAGAATATGCCATAGATTATGCTTTAGAATATGCTTTGATTTGATTTATATTTGATTTGATTTCCTTTCTTGTAATATGAGGATTGAGGATGTGCTCTTTTTATCTATAAATACTAGACTTGTGAATGAGTGATTAATCTCATTCTAGCCTTTATACAATTCTCTTCTTTCTCTTCTTCTTATATTTCAATTTGGTATCAAAGCCAGAGTGGTCCAATTGTAATGAGGGTATTGCGAGTTTGGCACCACCCATTCGGGAATGGTCCAAGGAGACATAGCCCATCTGATAGGTGTCGGGTAGGCAGAGTGGTCCGACCTCAATAAGGGCATTACGAGGTTGGCACCATCTATTTAGAAATGGTCTGAGGAGACATGGTTGTTTCTTTTTATTGTATGAGGAGAAATTATTGATTTTCTCGTCTACATATGTATGAAGGGGAATGGTCTGAGGAGACATTGTTGATTCTTTCATCTACAGGTTTTAAACATGTGTATGAAGGAAAATGGTCTGAGGAGACATTGTTGGCTATTTACGCTCTGAGGAGACATTGTTAATTGTTTATGGTCAAAGGAGATATTTTTTATTTGTTGACCGGCACTTCATCTGAGAGAAAATCATCGGTAGTCAAATTTGCATCAAGACCTATTAGTTTGGTGGGAAGCATTTACAAACTTATAGTAAAAATATAAAAAGAAGAGAAAGAAGAGAATTGTGTATAGGTTAGAATGAGATTAATCACTCATTCACATCTCTAGAATTTATAGATAAAAAGAACACATCCTCGTATTACAAGAAAGGAAATTTAATCAAATCAAAATCAAATCAAAGCATATTCTAAAGCATATTCTATGGCGTATTCTATAGCATAATCAAATCTCTACTAATATGGTAAGTCATTCCATAAATCGTGGCTATCATATTTGCTAACACTCCCCCTCAAGTTGGTGCGTGAAAATCTGAAACGCCCATCTTCAACCGCGCCCCCTTTCTTGGGGATGAGAGCAATAAAAGAGGCTTTCAAACATTTCTCAAACCAACCCTGAGGATGAAATGCATTGAAAGTGCCCATCACCTCAAAGATGCGTTGGGAAACTTAAATATCCATCTCGCACTTGTTCAGACATAGCATAAGCTGTGGCTATTACTAGCCAATTTATACATGATCCTCACACCCCTCATTTAGAGACTGTTTATCGCATTTTAAGATGTTTGAAGTCTGCTCCTGGCAAATGGTTTTGATTCTCTAATCATGAACATTTGAAACTAGAGAGGCTTAAACTGACTACCTCAGATTATTGCAAGAAATTTGGTTAACTGGAGGAGTAAAAAACACTCAGTAGTGGCTAGGTCCAATATTGAAGCAAAATACAGGATTAAAGCCCATTAAGTATGTGAACTTATGTGGATTCAAACCTTGGTAAGTGTTTTGGGTATTATGGATGATGGACCTATTAGACAATATTGTGATAACAAAGCAGACAACAATTAGCATTACCATTGCGCATAGAGATTGTCGGACACTTTATTAGGATAAGTTAAGTAATGGAGTACTTATAAAAAATAAAAATACAAGTTAAGTAATGGAATGATTTGCATGCCCTTCGTGGAGTAAGAGGAACAGCTAGCTGATGCATTCACTAAGGGCCCGTTTGGTAATCACAGTTGCTTTGCGCTTTTGCTTTGACCCGAAGCATAAGTAATGTTTCTGCTTTTAGAGTGTGTTCAACACTATTTAGAAGCTTGTTTGGTAATGTAAATTTGTTACAAGATTTTTTGAAGCAAAAACATGAAGACATGTTTGGTAAAAAATGTCGCAAGTTTGAAAATTTGAATGATTAGTTAAAAATGTTATTTTAGAAATTTTATTTTATTTTATTTATTTTTTTGAACAGTGGGGAAACAAAAGCATCATTTTGATGCTTCCAATTTTGGCCTCAATTTTGGAAGCGCTTCGGTACTATTGAAAAGCACAGCAAATATTACCAAACATGCTTCGTGCTTTTGCTTCACTACAGTACACTAGCAAAAACAAAAAACACGAAGCAAAAGCACTAGCCAAATAGGCCCTAAGGGTTTGAGTAGCAATTCCTTTCATTTTATTGTAGCAAGAGCAAGAGAGTTATTAATTCACCAACTCGAGGGGGAGTGTTGGAATATGTGGAATACTCTTGTAACAAGAGTAATTAGCGGAAATTACCATGTGAGGTATTTGTTAATATAAATATGTGGATGTAGAAATGTAAGAAACATTTTACAACCCTTCTTTACAGCCTTTGTCATTCATTCTTCCTCTTCCTTTGTCAAACATTAATAATTTAAAAACTAAAACATAGTCAATATTGTATTTAAAGTTATTTTTAACATAAACAAAAAAAAAAAAGAAGCAAGATTGTGCTCAAAACTTGACATCTTATAGCAATCAGTCAAAAAATTATTAGATCTCAATCACCAGGCTACCAGTAGTAATCAATCAAACTTGCAATTTGAAAATGTGGGGTGCAAACCCTACCATGTATTTTAATTTTGAAATGTAGGTAATTATTTTCTTCTCACAACCCAAAGAAAAGAAAATGATAAAATCTCGAACATTATACACAGGAAGACAAATTAAATAAGGAAAATCATAACCTTTTTGAATGCGACGCATGGTATTTTCATGGGCTAAAAGAATAGCATCAGGATTGCTATTCTGGACAATTGAAAGACCTAAAACAGAATCAAAAAGAAAATCAAAGCCAATATCGCACCTATACAAGTGAAAAGGAACACAAACTTAAATCAAATGTCCCAAAAGAACTTCAAATGAATATATACAAGTAGAACGTATAGCTTGTAGATAATATTGTCTCTGCGAGGGAAGAGAAAAATGAAATATTTTAGCCTTTGATAAATATTTAACAACTTAAGCACATAGTTGCAATATAAAAAATATCTTCACAATCATGTGTTTTTGTGCACCAAGCAGTTCATAGAACCAAGGAAAACAATAACAAGAACACTTGAACATGTAGCAGCCCTCACCCTACCTGACACAATATTGTCCGGTTTTGGCTCCCCTGAACCAGACTTCCCAGAAGGTCACCCATCCTAGTACTACTCTAGCATAAGTACGCTTAATTGCGAAGTTCTGATGGGTTAACGACTATCACAGCTTTAAAATGTGTTGTGCCATAGAAGGGTGTTGAACCTACATATAACACTTCACCTTCACATTTCCCAGATGATGTGGGATTATGACACCCGTAACTTGTTAGTATTGTAGCTCGTCCAAAGTCTAGCACCCGCCCATAAAAGTCGTCACAATCAAGCCTAGCCCCCCCCCCCCCCCCCCCCCCCCATGGGGCCCAACGTCCTTGTTGGCCACACTTCCGGCCGGGTTTCGGCTCTGATACCATTTGTACCAACCTTTACCCTACCTGACACAATTTTGTCCCCTTTTGGCTCCCCCAGACCAAACTTTCCAAAAGGTCACCCATCCTAATATTACTCCAGCATAAGCACGCTTAACTGCGGAGTTCTAATGGGTTCACGATCATTATAGCTTTAAAACGCGTTGTGTCATAGAAGGATGTTGAACCTACATATAGCACTTCACCTTCACCTTCCCGAGATGATGCGGGATTATGACACCCGTAGCCTGCCAATGTGGTAGCTCTCCCAATGTCTTGCACCCGCTCATGGAGGTCGTCACAGGACAATAATAACATGACAATGAGGACCTCCTGTGATTCAAAGCAGGACATCGAAAATACCAATTCAGAGAACTGGAGAAGTGCAGAGAGAAAAGAAAAAACCAAAATATATAATTCAATTGGACCATGATAGAGACGATAAGTATCATGTAAATAGATGGTTCTAACCTCTTCATGTTAATGCTGACAAAAGTCACGGATAAGAACAACAGGTGCAATGCTAAGTCAACAACTAAATCAACTGGGGCAATAATGTGAATGCAAATGATGGTTTGGGATGTGAACAACAGTACGATTCTCTTCCCTTTTTATCAAAATTTGCAGTGAAATTATCACAAACTTTTCTAGGATTAGCAAAAGTTAAATTTACCCATCACGTCCTAATGAGTTCTAGGTGTCATTTTAAATCTTTGTTCTTCTTCCTCTTCTTTTTCTTGTTCTCCTTGTTCTTCTTTCTCTAGTTTTTTCTACACTTTTCAATTGCAACCAGATCCTGAATCTACTCTTTTCAACCCTAAGAACCTTTCTTTAAAAACCCAATCATATTATCCATCAAATTTCAACCCGATTGTGGGTTAATATATGAGAGAATTAAATTACATGTAAACAGAAAAACAAATATTGTGATAAGTACAAATTGGAGCTATCGTGTGTGTGTGTGTGTGAGAGAGAGAGAGAGAGAGAGAGAAGGGAGAGAGAGTATCAAAATTGAATGGTTTCATCATGAATTCGCTGCATCAAAATTTAGTGGTTTCATCATCAATTCAATAACTCACCTAAAAGAATATATAACATGATGACCTAATCCCAAAATGTTCCAAGAAGAAGAAGAAGATGTTCCAAGTCTATATAATCAAAGATTATAAGAAGAAGAAGAACACAGCATTGAAACCACTATTATTTTTTTTTTTTTTTTGATAAGTAAGAAATTTATAAAAAGCGCTCAAAAGGGGAGCGCATCCCAAGGGAACAAAAACGGGCCAAAACAGCCATTACACTTTTAAAGAGGCCAAAAAATCAACTATATCATCTAAAGATCTATAATCTCTACCTGAGACCCAACAAAAAAGAGTGGAAACAATAGAGAACTTAAGAAAAGAAATAGGCCTCTCCTTCCCCTCAAAATATCTCTTATTCCTCTCAAGCCAAATACACCACCACACACAGAGGAGTAGCCCTCCAAGCATCACGAACATGGCCCCCCACAAAACACCCTCTCCAAGCCTCGATCAAGTCTCTGGCGAAGTGAGGCATGACCCATTGGAACCCAAACAAGCCAAGCATCAAATCCCAACAATCCTTGGCCATGGGGCAATGCAAAAGAAGATGGTCCACTGTCTCCTCGTCCCTAAGACACATGTAACACCGATTGACTACCACCTGATTTTTCCTTCTCAAATTATCCTGAGTTAAAATTTTGTCCAACACAGAAGTCCAAGTAAAGAAGGACACTTTAAGAGGAGCGTTAGAACGCCAAACCGACTTCCACGGGAAGGGCCCTCCAGGCTCCACAGAAAGACACCTGAAGAAGGACCGCACATCAAAACTACCCTGAGCACTGGGAACCCAAATCCAACCATCAGACTCACCAACCGTGACTCCTTGCCGATACAACAACTCTAACAAACGAATGGCATCCCCAATCTCCCAATCCTGAAAGAGACGCCTGAACCGAACATCCCACACCAGTCTCCCGCTATCAAGATGATAACAGTCAACTATCATGGCCTGCCTATTCGAAGCAATCCTAAACAGCCGTGAAAAAGCGAGAGCAAGAGAAATATCTCCACACCAAACATCCTCCCAGAAACTGATCATCCCGCCAACCCTGAATCTAAAACGGACATTCAAGGAGAAATCAAACCAACCCGTCCGAATGCATTTCCAGACCCCCACACCCCTCGGACCACGCACCTCAAGAGAACACTACCCTCCTCTGCTCTCCCCAAACCTACTAACAACAACCCTCCTCCAAAGCCAATGCCTTTCCACTCCAAACCTCCACAACCATTTTCCAAGGAGAGCTTAATTGAAAGGCACCAATCTACGAAGCCCCAACCCACCATTACGAATAGGCCTGCAAACATGCTCCCACCGAACCAAAAGAAACTTAAACTCCTCCCCTTTACCCCCCATAGAAAATTACGCTGCAAGCGCTCAATTCTCTCAACCACAGAGACGGGAATCTGGAAAAGCGAAATAAAATAAGTAGGAAGGCAAGAGAGGGTACTCTTAATTTGAGTGACCCACCCCCCCTTGGAAAGATACTGCTTCTTCCAGCCCGCAAGCCTCCTCTCAAATCTATCCACAACTGGATCCCAAACTCCCACACACCTCGAAAAAGCTCCCAAAGGCAAACATAAATAAGAGATAGGAAAAAAGCCAGTGCGACAACCAAGAATACTAGCAAACAAGCCGATCTCAGGAAACTCCCCAACTGGCACCAAAACACTCTTGCCAACATTCACCTTCAGGCCGGAAACCACTTGGAACTAGATCAAGACACATCTCAAATACCTGAGCTGGGACTCCTCCACATCACATAACACGAGCGTATCATCAGCAAACATCAAGTGAGAGATCTCTAACTGGCTAGCAGCATCTCGACCCACCCAGAACCTTCTTAAAAAGCCTAACTCAACAGCCCTCCTCATCAACCTACTCAGAGCCTCCATCACAAAGAGGAACAAGAATGGGGAAAGTGGGTCACCCTGCCTCAAGCCCCTCAAACTGGAGAAAAAACCGGTCGGAGCTCCATTCACAAGAATTGAGAACCGAGCACTAGAAATACAAAAATGAATCCATTTCCTTCATCTCACTCCAAACCTCATCCTCTCCAATAGGTAGAGAAGGAAACTCCAACTTACATGGTCATACGCCTTCTCAATATTCAGCTTACACAGAACACCTGGAACCCCACTATTCAATCTGGAGTCCACACACTCACTAGCAATAAGAACCGAGTCAAGAATCTGACAGCCTCCCACAAAGGCATTCTGAGAATCAGAAATCACACCATCCATCACTTTCCTCAAACGAAGAGCAAGGACTTTGGCAATCAACTCCCCTTTAACCAACTCCCAGCACTCCAAAAGGAAAGACATAGTAAACCCATCAAGACCTGGGGCTTTATCCCCATTACAGCTCTTCAAAACAGACAAGACTTCCTCTTCAGAAAAAGGCTCTTCCAAGCCCGCACACTCTCACAAGAAATGGTGTCGAACTGAAGCCCCTCAAGCAGAGGTCTCCACATAGCAACCTCTGTGAACAACTCTGCATAATACTCAGCAATAACTTTGCACACATCCTCCTCCTTAACCAGAGTCAACTCATGCACCCGAATCCTCCCAATATGATTGCCTCTTCGATGGGCATTGGCCAATCTATGGAAAAACTTCGTGTTTTTGTCGCCCTCCTTAAGCCACAAGGCTCGAGATTTCTGCCTCCATGAAATCTCCTCCATGATAGCAATCTCAGCAAACTCCGCCTGACACTTCGCCCTCCTTTCCTTCAAATTGTCCGCCAAAACCCCTTGACCCTCCATCCTGTCAATATCAGCAATCTCAGAAAAAACCCGATTCTTCCTCCAAACAAGATTCCCGAACACCTCTTTATTCCAGATCTTAATGCTTTCCTTGAGAAGACGCAATCTCCCTGCAAGAATATAACTAGGGGTGCCACCCACTCCAAACCTATCCCACCAGCCTCGGACCCGATTCCGAAAACCTTTAGCACGAAGCCACATATTCTCGAACCTGAAAGGAGATCTACGTCTACACAACCCACCACAGTCCAGCATCAACGGGACATGGTCAGAAATAGGGGGAGCCAAAGTAGCCTGAGTAGCATCAGAGAACGTCTCCTTCCAGTCACCTAACAAAAGGAATCTATCAAACCGAGATAGGGTACGAGGAGAACGACCACTAGACCACGTAAAAGGACCTCCCTCCAAAGGAAGAGTAAGCAACGTTAAAGTTACCACCAATACACCAAGGTAACAACCATCGTCTTCGGACATCCCCCAGCTCCTCCCAAAGAAGAGTAGGCAACAAATCCTCCGAAGGCCTGTAAACTCCTGTGAAGACCCAATGCAAACCATTCTCAATGAGAGAGAACACACAAGAAACAGAGAACCTCCCAAGCCGAGAGTCCACCAATGACACCTATCTGTTGTCCCACATAACAAGGATACCACCCGAAGTGCTAGAAGCATCCAAAACGCACCACTCCACAAATCTACCACCCCAAAGGCTTCTCACAATCCAATCCGTCATCGAAGCAATCTTAGATTCCTGAAGACACACCATATGACCTCCCCTTTTCGAATCACAGACTTGATCACTTTCCTTCGCACCGGGTCATTAAGGCCCCGGACATTCCAACACAAAAATTTTAACTTCATAGGGAAACAGTAGCTAAATCCGTCCCTCCCCTCCTCCCACCATCCGTCACCCAGGGAAACAGTAGACAAAATTTTTAACTTGAAAATTCTTATATATTCAATGGTATGGATAGACCTAATCCCAACAAGTTCCAAGTCTCAGCCGTGACCAAGACATGATGACCAAGTCCATGTCATGACTGGGATTTGGGCTAATACAATAATTTGACAAGATAAAATAATATAGCAATACAGGAATTGTCCAAGATGACAATTGTTGTGTCTAGATATAATGATCAACTGAATAAGACCAAGCTGACTTGTTGAAACAGCCTGAGATAACCCGAGATGAACCAAACCTTTAAAATTAGGAAACTGAAACTCACTTTTTGCTGTATGAACACCACCAGGGGGTTTTGGCACTTTTTCCTAACATCTCATTCAGAAAAATAAGGCCTTGAACTTCTATGTTGGACCTACTAAAAGTAATTATGAAAAATTACAGATTGGGGATGCAAATTAAGAGATATGGACAATGGTGATTGTTAGCGAACCCAAGCAATAATCACGATACACAAAAGAAAAGTAAACACACCAAACAAAGAATATAAAGATTTATATGTGGTTCAGCAAAGTCTATGTCCACGTTGGAGATCCAGCGAAAGTTTTTACTATGTGTAAAATCGAAGATTACAAGTTTCAACCCCTCCCTCTCTTTCTATACGATTTTCAGTATCTCTCGACAATTTTCACTCCAAACCCTAAGCGCCCTTATATATTGGGCTACAAGAGAGTACTAATTAGGGTCCACGACCCACAAGCAAAACAGATCAGAAAATTTCCTCGGAGGCATCCAGCAGGTCATCGGGTCACAACGCAACCTGGCACCAAATTTGGGCCACAACATCACAGTGATAAACCATCTGTTACCATTTAGACTATCTAGTGTTTTTGTTTGTTTTTTCTCATTATTTCATATTTATTAATGGTAATCCAATAGATTTGAACCCTGTTTATGTCACATATTGTTGCTTCTCACCCAAGAACAAGACAAAATGCTGATATCAAGTCATCCCTGCGCCAGCCAAGACCTTGAACAAGGGTGATTCCCATTTTACATATTTTGAAGAGCCAATCCTGTCTTGTTCTCCAATCCATCAGCATTTCTTATTACGAGTATCCTATCATTGTTGTCAAATATACTTCAAAAAACTTAGAAATCACTGTAAAACAAAAGAAATTTATTGTTTTAAGTTCCAACACTTTATACATGAACTTACCGTCAACATGATCACGATGGTGATGGGTAACAAAGACGACTAACTTTCTTGGCAAAGCAGCAACTATGTCCTTAAGCTGATGAAGCAAATGTCAGTACAATGAAATGATATTAGAAATTCATGGCAAAGATTAATACTTTCAACAATTTAAGTCTAGGTTAAGACTGATTAAATCGTCAAAATCTAATGAAGAATGCACGTCCAAAGACTACAAGAACAGAAAATTTCAAGCCACTGTCCAGCAACATGGGCGACAGGGCAGATCCATATGCAGGCAAGGCGTCAGGTAAGACTAGTGACAATGACATAATTTAGAGAAGGAGAAAAGGTGTCCACCAATTGCATTACTCTAGAAAGAGAATCGATTGACAGGGAACTTTTTCTCCTCCTCACTCCCATTCTCTCTCAGCAATATACAAATAACATATTCCTTAATATACTTTTTATAGTAAGGACCTGCACCCAAGGCTCTGATTGAAAGTTGCACAAGGTCTAGGATCTAAACCTAGAGGGGATGAATGGGTCACATAGAACAGACAACCAAAATTAACTACTTTTTGGATTTTAAAATCAAGTTACCACAATGTTAAATTATATTCATATCATGGCATAAAAATCAATCAATCCATGCAGTAATAAGCAGATAAAGCAATATTGCAATGGATGACGAGATTTTTACACACAAACTCCAAGGGGAAAGCCGCAAGACCTAGTAAAAACAAACAAAAATCCACTATGAGAAAGAGATTACAACTGGGTTGACACTTGACAGTTCCAAAAACCTAGAACCTCTAGTTACCTCCTGGCACAAGTGATGCCAAACCTTCTCCCTAAACTCTCCAGGCCATTCTTCTGCTCGTCAACAGCCTTCGCTCCTCACGAAGTTGCTTCCCCTTTAGTGATTTTGGTCCCAGACACCGTTTGGATTGAATGCAATGTTAAACTTTTCAATTGAGTTATGTAGCAGCAATTGTCAACACACAATTGAGAAACACAAACCAAAACTAAGTACGATGAATGTAAAGAAAAATAATAAGATGCTCTCTCTATATATAGTTATATACTACATTTGTGTATTGTATTATGCCCTAGCATCGTGTGTGTATATATATATATATATATATATATATATTTATATATAGGCAAAACAGTAGTATAGAGAAAATATTGTTGGTATACCATCCTGGAAACTGTGTTCCCGAAAACCTCAATTGATCGAAATTTCCACTGACCGATAGAATACTCCAGTGGGCCTCGATCGAACCCTTGATCAATCGAAGTCTATTGCAGTGTAAACTTAGAAAATTTTCTCAAGACGAAAGCTTCCAAAAACTCTTTTAAGGCATGCTTTGAAAGACTTAGGGAACCAAATAAGATAAAATCATGAAAACTTGGAAACCCTAATTATGCATGCATGAACCCTAATCTTTGGTGAGTACATTAATGTGTTAAATTACCTTTTTACCCTTGTAGGTGAAGAATTACCCTTGAAAGTAGCTTCAATTTCCTACTTCGACCTTGAGTAGGAGGTAGTCAAGTAACTCTGACTAGTTTTTAATCTAAACTAGAAAGTGAAAACACTCGAGAAAAAACAAGGCCGTGATCTAGACCTAGAGGGGAGGTGAATAGGTCTTAGTCACTAACTTGACCGATTTTAGCTAATTTTTACTCTTAACTAATATAACGGAAATTCAAAAATAAACTACCGAAAAAGCATGTACATTGGATCATTTATCATGTTTGAAAGCATATAAAAACTTGTAAAGTAAACATGAAAAAAATAATAATAATAAAATAAAATAAAAATCCACAGGACTTAGTTCAGGCAAATCAAATCCACTATGAGAAACAAATTTGTTAGGTTATATGACTTGGGATGGCAAAATTGTGATCAGAATTTAGAGTCTGTATTTTTATGTTACTTGTGTCTAGTTAGTTAAATAAGTTATAGAACCTTGTTTAAGGGCAGATCCAGAATTTCAAGAAGGGCAAAAAGGTAACTACGCCTTGAATCTGGACGCTCACCAAATTAGAGTTTATCCATACAGCAATTTCCGTTTCATTGTTTTCTTGATTTATTCTTCGAAGTCCTTTTTGCAATGCATTAAAAGTGTTTTTGGAAAAAAAAAAAATCAAATCCAAATTAAATTTGGACAGCAGACTTCAATCTGTCGAGGCATGAATCAAAGTCATATTGTTTCCTTTTCTAAATGAAACACCTACAAACCATATTGTTTTGGACTCTAACCTCTATATAATGACATCAGTAGCTCAGAAGACCAATGCACACTAGAGAATTTACAAGCAGAACACAATAGAGCCTGCTAGAGCTTTCAAACATTTGATTTATCCTATTATGTGTATTATAATAATCTCTTGATTGCTATAGTTTTGTGTTTTTGCATCAGTCATCATATATCTAGCATGTTAGTCGATTGTTCAGTTCTTGAATACTTCTTTGTCGCGCATAAAGATCATCAACAAAAAACCTACATACATAGTTGGACGTTGCTAGCACGTAGATAAAACATCCATGGAGAAACAAATCGCGTGAGAAGCGGATTTGTCGATGGATAAATGGCTGGAAGATCTGGAGTTGGTCTTTAAGTCTGAACTGGGAGGGACTAAGGATTTTGGGGTTAGTCTAGTAATTTAGCCAGTAACCTTCTCCTTACATAGTGGATTTTCCATATGTTGGGCTCAATCTTGTGATTTTTTCCGCTCGGAATTTCCACTAAAATTCGGTGTTCTTAAATATGATTGTTCTTCTTTACTGCTTTAATATTTCATATGGATCTACATTATGGATTGATTAGTTTATTTATCTGATAGTTAGTTTGATTCTTTAACTGCTGTAAAATCTGTTTATAATTTTAAATTAGGTTAAACTCTGCCTGCTAGTTAGTTAATTCTTAAATTGCTATTAAATTAGTTATAATTTTAAAATAGGTTAATGTTAGTTAGAGTTTGTTTCAAGACGTTAACCCACCCCCCCCCCCCCCCCCTCCTCTAGGTGTACATCACGACCTTTCACATAGGCTCATGGACATATGTAATAAAAGTAAAAAACAAAGTGACTAAGTCTATCTAACTTTTAAAAACTATCTATCTAAAAGTGAAACAGAAATACAAACTCACGCTTTAGCAATCAAACTAGACATCATAAGTCCTTTTTACCTAACAAAATAAATTCAATCTTAAAATTCAAGCCAAATTTAAATACTACTAATTATAGCACTAGATTCTTGAATGAAGGTGAAGGAACCCCAATGGGATAGCCTAGGGGTCAGGAGTTCGAATCCCCTTGGGACCACCCCAAGGAATTTTTTTCGATAATTGGCTAGTGCATGTGGGACTGGCCAATGGTGCTCTAAAAGGCCCAACACCACCATCGTCAACCAAAAAAATGAATGAAAGTAAAGGACAAGCACAGTAGTAATTGAGCTGATACCTGAGTATCTCCTAAATAATACACATATAGAATACTATTAAACCAGTTGATCCCGACCAATGGAGGGGGAAAAAAAAAAGATCTGCTATTAAACTCTTTCAAAGATTCTTCCATATTTTAATGTAACTTCATATGGTAATTCCTCTTGATATGCTCCTGTGGGCAAGTAGATCTAGTCACACAATACAAGAGCACATAAATGATATGAAAATGTCAACGAAATAAGCTTCATAACTTAGTTTTGAAATATAAATGAACTTAAATTACTTGACTTATGAATAAGTCGAACATGAAACAAATATCTTGAACTTCGAGTCAAGATAAAAATGTAAGCGGACCGCAATAATACAGTTTTGATTGCCACTATCTGATTCAGGGTTTCAATGAAAATTTAATAAATAAGAAAAACAACTCATTTCCAGGATTAGTAAAAGTTTCTGTTGCATGTCAATGGCAATCTTGTTATTCCAAGCATAATAGGCTGCATTTAAAATAATAGTAATTCTTAGAGAGGGATAGGACTACTACTCCAAGATCCATCACATGCCAAGGGTTTTTGAGGGAGTTGACTTTCCACTCTTGCTCAGGATGAATTAGAAAAGAAAATTATATTCCAAGTGATCAGAACAACATTTCAAAACTAAGAACCAATATATTATACCTCTTTGTGAAACTCAGACCGGCATCCTGGATCAATTATCAATGCCTCTCCATGAGCAACAAAGCTGCTCTGTCCACAGTCCTTAGAAACAATGTCAGGAGCAAATATAACCAAGTTTGTAGTGAAAAAGGGCTTCGCTGTTCTGCTTCCCATGGGTACAAGTTTAACACCAGGAGGGTACTCCTATAACATAAAAATATCATATTTAAGTTACACCATCTCTAACAGCTTAAGCTTTTGGAGTAGATGGTTGTTAACATGGTGTCAGAGTAGGCAATATCTTGTTTTCAAACCTCATTGTCATCCTAGTACTTAAAATTGGAACATGTGTTAGACCAAACGCAGGCCACACGTAAAGGGGCGTGTTGAAGGATTTAAATATTTAAGTTACACCCTCTCTAACAACTTAAGCTTTTGGAGTAGATGGTTGTTATTTGTTAACATTTTATGTAAATGGCAAAAATTTTAGTACTATCTGGAAACAACTCAAATTTACAATAGAAAGACTTCTAATAAGCTCTGTAACAAAATTTACAGGTTAAAATCTTGAATAACTTCTAGCTTATATTTACTTTGTTGAATTCAAGCTTTCCCTATATAGTAACATGTAAAATTAGTAGATTGTCACACAAAAGGGTCTATGCAAGTAGGATAGAATTTCGGAATCTCTCTCTTTCTCTAGGGGATGAGCCAGATTTCATGCCTGACCAATATATTTTCGTCTTCACATATTATACTTCATAGAGAGAGAGAGAGAGAGAGAGAGAGAGAGAGAGAGAGAGAGAGAGAGCAGGCCATTAAAAATCAATTTTGACTGCTAGAAGTTTCTCTTCTATCAATAATTTTAAATACTTAGTTGATGAAGGTGTCATTGCTTGGTGCACTAATTGAGGGTCGCAAATAAGACAAGCCAAGTCGAGCTTTGGTGTCAAGACCTGCCCCACACTATATAAATATTGTCCGCTTTGCACCCTCTCCATGCTCACGGTATTCAGAACGCGTCTACACTTGAAGGAGGCATCTCCCCTTATAAGTACCAGGAACTTCTCTCCCAAGAAATTTGGGATGTCACAATCATCCCCTATTGGGACCCAACGTCCTTGCTAGCTTCACTATCTTGTGCATGCTCCCCCATATTTTGGCTGGGGTTTGTGCGTGAGGCTTGTGCAAAGCGGACAATATCTACACAGTGTGGGGCGGGTCTTGACAAACGGTATCAAAGCCAATTCCAAACCAAATATGGGGAGTGTGAACAAGCCAGTGAGGATACTGGTCTCAAAAGGGGGTGATAGTGGCATCCCACATCACTTAGGGAGAGAAGTTCCTAACACTTATAAGGGAGGATACCTCCTACCCGTTTAGAAATATTTTGAAAACCGTTAGCATGGAGTTGGTACAATGTAGACAATATCTACACGGCGCGGGGTGGTCTTGCCATTTGACTTGTTCAAGCTCGAGCTTGGGTCAAAGCTCATATATGAGTGTGGCTCGGCTCAAACATTACTCTTTGAACTCAGCTTGGCTCATTTAATCATTTTTTAGCTTGAACTCGAGCTTGAGACTAAGATTGATCATTACAAATTTTGATTATAAATCCAAATGATCCCTAATAAACGAGCCATATTCACAAGCTTTAACAAATATGTTCACAAAAACCTATTAATGAACATGTCCGTGAGTCTAACAAGCCAAGCCATAAGTTGTTCAGCTTGACTTGTGTGTTAGACAAGCTCAAAAAACAAGCTAACATGACCCATTTGTTCAATAAATGAGCTTGAGCCAAGCTGTAATCAAGTTGAGCCTGAATTACTCATGTACAACTAGGTTCATTTCCGATCCATGCAATAGTAATTGCTCAGGCTATAAAGCGCAATAATGTGGGCGATTTAAAAGCAGCCACTTTATGCAAATAATGTCAAAGTTTAGGCTTGTAACCACTTTGACCCTCCCAGCACCTTCAACTATCAGTGACTAGAACCCCATATTAACAGAGATGCACTAGGTAATGATCCTTGACTTTCTTGATGGCTAATCTTGGCAAAATCTCCTCTCTTGCTTCTATATAAAGTACGTGCACTCCATCAAGTAAACTACACTCAGTAAAGACAGCAAACCTGGAAATGCAAGGTTGGTGGGATTCTCCACTTTGGAGATAGGATTGAGTCAGTTAGAAGACCAATGACAGCCAAAGGTCCCACACGGTCACTACTCGGTTTCACATCGAGAAGCCAATTTAAGCAACTTTGGATAGACATCCATTTGCACATCGCTGCATATGCATTTTCAGCATTAGTAGCATGTTAGTAATTAAAGATAGTAAATGATAATAACAATTAGGATGCAGATGAGATTGAAAGACATGTTTATATTCACAATAAGAAAATACAGTGAGAAAATATTTTCATCAAATTAAATCAGATGAAAACAAGATGATTATCGTACATAAAATTTCACCAATGGAACCAAAAAAAATAAAGTACTTGACTGCAAGTTGTTTCATATGACATTATCTTCTATTGACAATCCAGTTTTAATCACCTGCTTGGCCTTTTGTTTCACAGGAGTCTAGACTCCAGACCAAGGTTATTACCACCTGAGCAAATTAAAGTTGATTTGTTTTTAAGTGATGCTACATATTTTGATCCACACCCCCTCCTATCTCAGTCTCGATTGGCATTAATTTCATAACCATCCATATGAAATCGGTTTAGACTGCGAAGTCACTTACAGTTATTTCTCTAATCAAACCCCTTCTCCACAACCCATAGAAAAAACAGAGTGTAGATGGAAGATTAAAGAAAAACCAATAATCCAACAACACTGGCAAAATTAACCCAAACAAACCTTGTAATTTTCCATCTTCAGTTCCCAATGTTCCAGTTATATACACAGTATGAACTGGCGATCCTGGCCCGAATTCAGGTTCCTCCACGTACTTCCAGAACTTCCAGTGTACCCCCATCCCACTGTGTCTCTCAAGACCTACTTCTGCCAAAACCTGCATTTTCAGACCATCAATTTTTATCAATGTTTGTATGATCCCAGGAAAACCCACTTCTTTGGTTATATATATATATATATATATATAACAAAATATGTAATACATATTATATAATTCAGTAACACCTTACCTTGTTGAGGGCCAAATGGATATCGAGTCGACTCAAATCAAGCTTCTCCGAGCACAAATATTGGCCGTCGACTACAATTCGAGACTGTGATTCTCCTTCCAGTATATGCAATTGTGCCCAAGGCAAGTCCCAGAGGTCGGAATCGACGTAAGAGTCGTACTCATCGTCGCCGAATTTTGGAGGCGGCGTTTGCTTCAGGAGAAGAAATTCGTCGTCGATTAAAGGGTTTTTAACGATCACTGCGAGTTTGTAGGTCGACATTTGAATTGGAAAGATAAATGTAAATAAAGGCTTTATGGGTTAAAGACGAATGGAGCTTCCAGCGTTTAGATATTTATTAGTTCACGACATGTTGAGCTAATGAGGACTGGAATCTCATCTGGTGTTGCCAACTGCCAATCTATTGCCTGCTGAGCGTGGAATTTATTTTTATTTCTTTTTCTTTTTTTATTTGTTTTTATGAGAAAGATAAAATATATAAAAGATTACAGTATAGTCTATTTTTGCACTTTAAAGATAAATAAATCCTATAAAAAAAAATTATAGGACAAAGAAGTCCCTCTTTTAAATATATTTCCCCAAATAACTACACAGTTGAAGAATAAGAGATGAAGAGTATCTCTTATTCTATTTCTATTTCTATTTCTATTTTTATTTTTTATTATGAGAAAGATAAAATATAGAAAAGATTACAGTATAGTCTATTTTTGCACTTTAAAGATAAATAAATTCTATAAAAAAAATTATAGGACAAAGAAGTCCCTCTTTTAATTCTATTTTCAAATAACAATAAATTTGAAAAATAAGAGATTAAGCATAAAGAGATTGCAGAGAAAGAAATTGAAGAGTGATGGTATATGTCATGCTTTGTAATAAGTGAAAGTTATTCTATTTTTTATAGATATTTGTTGGAAATGGATTTTTAAAGTATGGACTTAGTTGTATTTGAGATACAAAAGTAAGATTAGGTTATAATTTTCCTTGAAATATATTCCCTATAGAATTGAAATAAAGTCATGACATGAGATGAAAAGGGAGGATATCCTCATCAACAATGAAATTTTGAATGATGTGCAGCTAAAGTATGAGTGGCCGATGTTTAACAGTGTCAAAATAAGTTTTTTACAAAATTGAGATAGTAAATATTAATTAATATTATTTTTATTCAATACATTAAGAACAACTCATTTTTATATTTTAATACTTTTGATGATATTCTCTCCTTTTGAAGTTAAAAGTAAAGAGTTCAAATCTATCCATAATTATTTCGGATTCTTTGCAAAGACAAAAGATAAAATAAAAATAAATTGATAAATGAAATAATCCTAATGAATTGAAAAACTATGTCCTCTTCGTTATAAAAATCCCATTCATAAAAAATTAATATATAAATATTAACTAAATTCTCATCTTTTTACTTTGTAACCTAAAACATAATATATATTTACAAAAAGTGAGATTAAATAAAGGTATAAATTTTTAATCTATTGTTTAACATAAGAGATTTGGAAATACTTGGGTGATATTAGGGTTTCATTATCGTAGTTATTTTTTCGCACAATAATAGGGTTTAGCAAGGAAGCCGATGATCTTCGATCATGGAGGGGGACAACAATTACACCAACCCACCTGTTGGGGGCTAAAGGTTACCCATGCAGCATCTCCACCACGGACCACACGAAGGAGTTTGTTTGATAGTGATCAACAATAGTAGATGAAACAATTATCCTTGCTTTAAGGGAGTCATGATGAGGAGATTATTCATATTGCAGATGAGGATATTGCAAAAGAGGTCAATTACTAGAAGAATTCGATCGTGGGGTATTTGCTTGGAAAGGGGCCATATTTCCCTGTTTTAGGATATGTTTGATACGGTGAATTTGAAGGGGGAGGATAATATTAGTTACGAGGGAAAGGAAAGGAAAGGGAATGATAATTTTAATCTCCTATTGTGTTTGACTAATTAATGAATGCAAAAGAAAGGGAAGGATAACAATCATATTTGGAAAAAGAAAGGAAAGGAAAGTAAAGTAAAGAGAATAATTTTAATAAATTTACTATTATGCCCTTTTATATTTTAAAATATATATATATATATATATATATATATATATATATATAATATTGGCTCTTATATAATGGCCCATGGATCGGCCACCAGAAAAGGAAAAATGATTTAGGCAAATCATTCTAGCCTCCGTCTCTATTCTCGTTCCCAACTCTGAACTTGACCCCTCTTTTTCTCTCTCTCTCTGCAACTGCAAACTACTACAAGAATCAGAAGTTCAAAACCCATATATTTCAGTTTATATATTTGTCTGCAAGAATCAAAGTTCAAAACCCACAGCATCATTTCAAATTGTTCAAAAAATCAAAACCCAAGCTTCAATCGCTGGCACTCTTTCTCTCAACTCGCAAGCTTGCCCCCGTCTCTCTCTCTGCAACTGCTAACTTGTAAGTATGGTGTAATCAAAGGCAAATTTGGCATCAAGAATCACACACCATGCCTCTCATTCCCTTTCCTTTCGTTTCCTCCCATTTTTGGAAGGTTAAGAAATCTACTGTTGAAGCCTTGTGTTAACCTTCCAAAACCTTCCCTTTCCTTTCAACCATTTGAGCCAAACATAAATTTTTAATCCCCCTCCATCACCTTCCCTTCCCTTTCCTCCCTTTTCCATTGCACCAAACTGACCCTTAAGGATTTCTTGAAGAGGGTTTGGAAGAACGTAGGAGAGTTCAAACTGATCTCTCCACCAAATGGGTTCTTTTTTATTCGTTTTGATAATCAGAACGATACCAACACCGTTTTGGGGAGGTTTTATACGTATTAAGGTCGTCTAATGATATTGAAAAGGCGGAATAAGAATGCTAATCTAGTTAAAGAAGTTTTAGGTTCAATCCCTATATGGATTCGACTTTTGGATATTCTTATTCATTGTAGAAATGCAATGGCGATATTGAAGATTTGATCCAAATTCCTAAAGTTATTGTACCTTGATGATGCTATGATTGCAAGGGATTGAAGGAGCTATGTGAAGGTTATGGTAGAGGTGGAAGACTGTCGAAAGAGACACAAAGAGCTGATTTTTGCAGAAAATTTCAGATCGATGGAACAGAGCAATGATTGGATGCAGGGATGGATGTTTGATCGATTGAACCTCATTTGAGATTAATCGAACAGGGACAAAATGCCTATTTTCAGAATGAAAGTGCATGCAGACTCAATCAAAATTCCTAGCCATGTGTATGAATTCCAAAACATATCTAGACGACGTAAGAAATGAAAGATAAAACAGAAATGAGGGAGGAATAGGGTTGTAAACCCTACGAAGCCTTTACTAGTCTTTAACGTCTTTAGCAAGACGTTGAGCTCTTTTAGCCCGGATCAAACATCTTGTAATGCATCCCCTCCTTGTCGAGGCGATTAGTACTTTAAATTCCATCCAACAAACGGTTCCCTAAAGAACTTGTTGGATTAGGTTCAAAGGAATTTGTTGGTCTTTTGTCAATGTGATCTTTGGGCTTCCATGCCCTTTCAAAGCAAGATTTTGAAACATCATTTTTTGAATTCAAGGTTGAAGATGAACTTTTTAAAGTTTTGGTTTCAAGCAAAGACTCAATTCTTTCACATTCATTGTCTAGACATTTTTCTACAACATTTACTTCTTCATGCTTGTCAAATGAATTTGGGGTCGGATTGAAGATATTCAACTTCACTTTCATATGCCCAAATGAAATTTTCATTACCCCCGTCCTACAATTGATGGTGGTATTTACGGTTGCCAAGAAAGGACGACCAAGGATAACGGGAATTTGGCTCTTGGGATTTGGAACCGATTCCGTGTCAATGACAACGAAATCAACCGGGAAGAAGAATTTATCAATTTTAATCAAGACATCCTCAATGATACCCCTAGGCTTTTTGATGGATCGGTCGGCAAGTTGTAAAACCACCGACGTCGGTTCCAAGTCTTCTTAGCCTAATTTAACATATACCGAGTATGGAAGAAGATTAACACTTGCTCCTAAGTCTAGAAGAGCCCGATTAATGACATAGTCACCAATGATGCAAGAAGTAATAGGCGAACCGGGTCCTTAAACTTTGGGAGAGTGTTATGTTATAAGATTGAGCTCACTTGCTCGGTCAAGACCACTTTCCTAGGTGCTTGGCCCTTGTTCTTCCTCTTTTGGGTACAAAGATCTTTTAAGAACTTGATATAAGCCGGAATTTGCTTAATTGCATCAAAAAATGGAAGATTAATCTTCACTTGCCTAAACATTTCAATGATTTCATTGGTCTTGGTCTTTTGTTTATCAAGATAAATGGATCCTTTCAAGACATCCGGAAATGGAGCTCTTGGTTGAAAAACTTTTTCAAAACTTTTCTTTTAAACATCATCAACACAAGAATTTTTAAAATCCTTTTTTAAAGCTTTGTTCAATTCATCTTTCAAATCAATTTTGGATTCACCGATTCACTGTTCAGATCACTTTCTAACACTTTCTCATTTGAATGATCATGCATATGCAATGAAGGAAGAATATGATAAGAAACAGGATGGGTGTCAACTTTTGGTTTCATCGGTTCACTCTCTTTATTGGACACACCTACTTTGTTGTCCATAATCTTCCCACTTCTCAAAGTTGTCACCGCATTGATATGCTCAATTGTGTTCCTTTCTGATGAGGAATGAGTCTCCACAACACATTATTGCTTTGGTGGGGCATTCAAAGGTATCTTCCCCTTCTCTCTAGCATTTAAGGTACTAGCTATTTACCCTACTTGGGTTTCTAGCTTAGCATTGAGAATGAGAATGAAGCAATTGAGTGTTCGCCTCTAGAGTGCCTAGAGCGGTTAAAACTTTCTCTTCAAAGGCGGGACTCCCAGAATTTCCTTGGGAATATGATGGTTGATTAGGAAAATGAAAATTAGAAAATTGATTGCCATGTGATTGAAATGATGATGATTTAAAATCTTGGGAACCTTGGCCTTGCATTGGTGGCGGAACATACTTCCCTTGAAAACCACCTTGGGAGGGTTTGAGCCTTCCCCTTGGCTTTTCCAAGAAAAATTTGGATGGTTCCTCCAACTTGAATTGTAATAAGTGCCATAGGGATTATTCCCTTAATTAACAAATGTAGCATTGACTTGCTCATAGGGCTTACTTTGCATATGTCCATGTGGACAATTGGAAGTAGAATGCAAGACATTTGAACAAGTCATGCAAGATTCATTAGATGCACGATAATGAATATGAGTAGGGGAGGAAGATACTTGATTTGTCGAATTTTGGTTGATAAAAAATTGATCAAACCTTTGAGACAAGGATTTCATCTCGGCGTTTATGTCATTAGAGTTGTCAACTTGATACAAGTTGACATTCTTCCTTCCACT